CTACAATACAGACGTGCAGTTCAACAAAACAGAACTGAGAATCAAAATACAACTTCACATTTACAATCAACTGATTTTCAACAAGGATGCCAAGACAACTCATTGGGGGAAAGAACAGTTTTTTTCATAGATGGTGCTAGGATAACTGGATACCACATGTAAAAACAATGAAGGTGAACCCCTTTCTCATATCATACACAAAAATTGACTCATAATAGATCATAGAACTAAATGTAAGAGTTAAAACTATAAAATTCTTAGATGAAAATATAGGAGTAAATCTTCATGAGCTTGGGTTAGGCAAAGCCTTCCTAGATATGACACCAAAAGCACAAGCAACCAAAGAAAAAATAAATAAGTTGAACCTCATCAAAATTTAAAACTTTTGTGCTTCAGAGGACACCACCAAGAATGTAAAAAGACAACCTAGAAAATGGAAGAGGATATTTGCAAATCATATATCTGATAAGGGACTTATATCTAGAATAGAATAGAATGAGCACATGACAGGATGCTCAACATCATTAGTCATCAAGGAAATGCAAATCGAAACCACAGCAAGAAACCACTTCACACCCACTAACATGGCTATAATAATAATAAAAAAACAGGTGTCAGTGAGGATGTGGAGAAATTGGAACCCTTACACACCGTTGGTGGGACTGTAAACTGATGCAGTCACTTTCAAAAACAGTCTGGCAGTTCCTCAAAGGTTAAATTTAGAGTTACCATTATGACTCAACAATTCCATTATCAGGTATATAACCAAGAAAAATGAAAAACATATGTCCACATAAAAACTTGTATATAAATGTTCAGAGCACCAGAGCACCATTCTTTCTTTTTTTTAATTAAAGTTTATTGGTGTGACAATGGCTAGTAAAATTACATAGGTTTCAGGTGTACAATTCTGTAATACATCATCTATATATCACATTGTATGTTCACCACCCAGACTCAGTTCTCCTCCCATCACCATATATTTGACAGAGCACCATTATTCGTAATAGCCCCAAACTGGAAAAAAAA